CCTGCAGAGGCTCCTGGAAAGAGTGTAGAGTACGCTCCAGGAAGGCATGGACTCCCTATGCTCCTTGATAGACAGCCTTGCTTGTTAAACACAGAAATCCCATGAGGTTACAGCTGGCCTTGTTCAAAACACTATCAATGAGCCAAAGAAAGGGAATGTTTTGCTGAGACTGTCTGTCTTTCCAAAATAGTCTGTCTCAATTGAGCAAATAACCCCAAGAAGGAGGGACCAAAGGCCTGGAAGTAGTAGTCCCCCTCAGCTGCATCAACATCTTCATTCCCAAGACCTACATAACTCCAAGTATCACGCCCCTACATAGACCACAGACCCTCCCTTTCCAGCAGGAAAATGTCTGTCCTTGCTCTCATCCACTGAGGTCACACTCTAGTCTGCTGGCTGCACTCTGAAATCTTCACATCCCTGATCACATCCATGCCTTGCTCAAAACATCGCTTTATTTGTATCCTCATGCTTTTTATACACTAGTGAATGTGTCTTCTTGAGTGAGCCCCTCAGATAAATTCATCAAAATGCAGAGATGGTTATAGAAGTCGTGTACTTAGGTCAGGAAACAGTGTTTCAAAACAAACAAACAAAATAAATCAAACTAACCAAAACAACACAAGAGGCTGAAGGTATAGCACAGTTGGTGAAAGGTTCAGGCATTGCACTGGGTTGATTTAAATTATAAGAACTAGTTAGGAATTAGACTAAGCTATCAACTGAGCTTTCATAATTAATAAGCCATCTCATTGCCATTATTTGGGAGCTGGCTGTCAGGACACAGACGGACTAACTGTTTTCCTTTATAAGAATTGCTATGATCATGGTGTCTCTTCATAGCAATAGAACACTGGCTAAGACAGTATACATGCCTATAATTCTACTACTCAGGAAGCAGAAATTTCAAGTCCAGCCTAAGCTACATAATGAGATCAGATCTCAAAAAAAAAAAACAAAACAAAAACACAAACAAACAAAAAAAAAACAGAAAACAAATGAAACCATTTAAGAACAACAAAAGACTACTTATTTTATAAATATTTATTTACAAACAGTATAGTTAAGAAAAAGCAAAAACAGCCAGGCGGTGGTGGCGCACGCCTTTAATCCCAGCACTCGGGAGGCAGAGGCAGGTGGATCTCTGTGAGTTCGAGGCCGGGCTGGACCGACAGCTTCCAAAACAATACAGAGAAACCCTGTCTCGTAAAAACAAACAAAAAAAGAATCCCCAGACGCTCTACTGTATTTAGCCAAAGATGAACAAAAAAGAAACAAAAAGACCCTTTATAGGAGGAGGTAAAAGAAAACAGACATCCTAAAGCTGTCCTCTGAACTCCACTCACACCCTTACTTGCACCCACAAAGACAGCCTTTTCTAAAACTTGAAAGCCCAGAAACAAACCTCTATGGGGATAGAGATGTAACTCAGCTGGGAGAATGCTTGCCTAGCATGCTTGATGCTCTGGGCTTGGTCCCCGTACCCCATAAGCCTATACTCAACAGGTGAAGGCAGAAATACCAAGAATTCAAGGCCACACTCAGTTATATAGTAAATTCAAGGCCAGCCTGGGACACACGAGATCCTGTGGATGGAAGTGGGGGGGGGTGGCAGGAGAGGGGAGGGAAAGAGAGGAAGGGAAGAAGAAGGGAAGGGGAGGGGAGGGGAAGGGAGGGGATTAACTAGCTCTGTTAATTTCAGAGCTAGTCTCCAGCTACAAAGTGAAACCCTGCCACAAAATACAAAAAGGAGCCAGGAGTGGTACTATACCTGTATTCCCAGCATTTGCAAGATCCAGACAGGAGGATCAGGAGTTCAAGGTCATCTTCAGCTAGCTTGGGCTACAAGAAAGACTGTTTGGGGGGGGGGAGTGTGAAGAAACAGCTAGATCTCTGTGAGTTCGAGGCCAGCCTGATCTACAGAGAGTTCCAGGGTAGCCAGTCCTATGTAGAGAGGCCCTGCCTCAGAATTAGTTAAGATAGATTTAGGGTGGGACTAGAGAGATGGCTCAGAAGTTAAGGGCACTTGTTATTCTTACAGAAGACCTGGGCTTGGTTCCCAGCACCCACAGAGAAGCTAACAACTCAGTTCTGAAGGAATCCAATGCCCTCTTCTGGCCTCTGAGGGCAACAGGCATGCATACAGTGCACATACACATGCAGGCAAAACAGTCCTACATCTAGAGAAACATGGAAATGAAAGAGAGAAGGCAGCAGTAGGCTCGGTGACAGAGCACTGGCAGATACAAAGTTCTAGTTCAGTCGCCAGTACAGCAGACAGATGAACAAACGTGCACTGCCACAGCAATGACACACTGTCTATACGAAGTGTCACTCGGCCACCTTGCCCTTGAGTGCTACAGCCAGGCTCAAGGACTAAGGATCATCATCCTCTTATAAAGTGGAAGGGTAGGGCTGAGCACAGCTCAAGTGCCATGACTTTTACCAGTTAGTTCTGCTTTCACTCCATTCGACAGACTTCGGGTAAACTTAAACACAAGATTCCCATGCGGGCCCAGTCCCTGGGATGCAAAAGAAGTCAGGTCCGGGGAGGAAGCACATACACTAGCTATGCTGAGGAAAGAAGAGATGCCCTGGACAGTGGTGTCAGAGGGAAATGGGAAACAGAGAAGATTTCAGCAGCCCCTGCCACAGTTGTCCTGGGTACAGCTGCCTCAAATAAAGGAAAATATTTGACCTAGATACTCCCAGAGTCTCAACACACACTCGGATTTGAGTAGTCAATCTCTACAATAATGAACCCCCCAGACCAATATAATACAGGCTCAGAGTCAGTATTGAGCTGAAGGCAAAGTTTGTTGACAGTAAGCTCATATGACACTACCCCAGCACCACTTAAAGCCATCATTCATTCCTTTCATTTCGCCAAAGAACCATAGATTATCCATTCACATTTTAGTAATATACAATCTCAATTAGAAAAGGGACAGATAGGCCAATCGTGGTGGTGGTGAAGCATGCCTTTAATCCTGTGGGGACACCAGACCTTGAGCAGAAACCCACTTCCCCTTCGGCCTGGGAGCAGGCAGCTGTGTAATGTTTACTGAAAAACAATTCAGTGCTTTAAAGCTCTTGATAGGGCTCAGATAAGGGCTCGCTCACTGAGATACCATGACTTTCACACCCCCTACGGCTAGATGCCTCTTCCTGTCCCCCCCCCTGCAGTGTCTCCCCGATTCTGGGGCCGGAGATTAACCACCAGCCAGGAGGGTAGAAGTCTGGAAAGAATGGTATGTAGATGAATGGCAGAAGTCCTTAAAAAGGGAAGCTCCTTTTTCTTAGAGAGACTTCTCCTGAGAGCTCTCTCCTAAGCGGACTGGGGTCTCCTCCTAAGCTGACTTGGGAAGATAAAGTTTTCTTAAAGCAACCGACTGGTCTCTGTGTCATCTATCCCGACCACCTCGCTACATTCTCGGATGCAGGCCGCACAGCAGGTGCGACATAATCCCAGCACTCTGGAGGCAGAGGCAGGTAGATCGCTGAGTTTCAGGCAAGCCTGGTCTACAGAGCAAGTTCCAGGACAGTCAAGGCTACACAGAGAAATCCTGTCTTGAACTGCCCACCCCCATAAGAAAAAAGGGACAGATTCCGGATCAGATGGTTCCAGCTGCCCCCCATAGGTCACAATGACAAGCAAGAGCTGTAAACACAGGCCAGCCCCTAGTATCTAAAAGTTTCGCAGTCACCCTCTTTGTGTGCGGGAACCCACCCACTTTCAAGTCTAAAGAAACCCAGAGAGGGTTTATTTGCAAATCTAAACTGGCAACTCTCAGATTTAAAGTTCCAAGTCATTGTTTGCTGTCTAATCCTATAGTCAGAATCAAGAAGAAAGCATCTGCAGTGAGTAGACACTACATCCTTCTTGATAAAGGAGCCATGTCTCCATGAGAAACATTCCAAGTAACAATGGAAGGAGTGTCAGTCAGGTACAGGGAAAGGCTCAGACGGGCAAAGCAGAAAAGGAAGAAGATGGTGACTGTGGAAGAAAGAAAGGAGAGCAAAAACACACCAAAGCTGTAGGCTAAGGTGACTAGATGTCACTGATGTCCAAGGGGGCCGACGGCAGACAAATAGTGCAGCTCCAGGAGAGAAGGCAGGGGAAGGGTTACAACTCTCTCACATATAGTAAGCAACCTGATGCTAGAAGGGTCTCCAGGGACTTAAAAAAAGAAAGCTTTAAGTGAGGAGAAAGGAGTAGCAAGTCAGCAAGTAGAAACTGATTACAGGCTCAAGGGCTAGGACCCTGCGAAAGGCTCAGAGCTTTGAAGACAAGCAAGTGTCAGATATGAGAAAGCTGAGAGGGCCCAGGGTACTTGGTATGAAGCACTTCAGATGAGTGGGAGAAACAGGAACTGCACACTGAGTAAAGTGCAGGTCAAATGTCAGGAAGGATAAGGGATCTGAGAAGACAAGGAACACAGACAAAGTCAAGAGGATGATATGGCCAAAGCAAAGCCATTTTAGAAGGAACCAGAGCCTACTGGAAGGCTTCCTTGAAGGATGTAGGGCTATCTGGGGCAGACAAAGGAGAAAAGGTTCTGGAATGCATAAACGGAGGAACATACTGGAACATACCAGGAATAAAGCACAGGTTAGTCACAGGTGCAAAATCAATGGAGAAAGTCAACAAAAGTCTACATGAGAAGCCAGCTCTCTTCCAAGGCAGACAGAGGGATCTCAACCTGATAGACAGGGCAAGTCTGAGAAACAGGGGAAATGGACAACAACAGGAGCACAGGGGCATACTCCTCCTCTTTTGTCAATAACCACAGATCTGTAAAACACCAGTGCAAAGCCAGGATTCTATTCAAGAGCCCAAGGCCATACACTACCCTACTTGTCACCCGTTAGCCACTGCCCACTTCTTCCCATCTGTGAGCTGCCCAGACTAGGAACTTGCTGAGGAACACAGAGCCAGCAGTAGGAGTACACCACCTGGAAGAATAATCTAGTAAGAAGTGGAAGTGTTCAATACTCACAGGAACAATAAGCCCTTGCCAAGTCAATAAATTAGCTTCATCAACCTGGATGTTACGGAAGTTTTTCATTCCACATTTGCGGATCTCTTCAAGCTCCTGTTGATTAACAAAGCATAAAGGGGTGTCAAATCAGGGAAAGCACCACATATTAAGATCCCTCCTGACTCCCTCAAGTTAAACCAGGTGACAGCATCACCAATGACAACATTTGAGTGAGCACCAGAATAAGGAAGCATGGAGCCAGGGTAGTCCCATATGTAATGCTATAGCCTCTATAGACCCTTGTCCCAAACCAAGCCAAGCCCCAGCCTTAGACACCCATTGAATACAATGAGAAGAACCATGCTTCTATAGCTATACCACCTCTACTTTTGGGCTGGTCATGCTGCCCATGTAAATACCCTCAGTAGAGCCAGATAGCGCACACCTGTAATCTCAGCATTTGGGAGGCCAATACAGATGGACCACTGTGGGTTCAAAGCCAGCTAGAGCTATAGAGTGAGACTCTAGATAAAAAAAAGGGAGGGAGGGAGGGAGGGAGGGAGGGAGGGAGGGAGGGAGGGAGGGAGGAAGGAAGGAAGGAAGGAAGGAAGGAAGGAAGGAAGGAAGGAAGGAAGAGGGGCTGGTAAGATGGCTCAGCAATTAAGAGCTCTTTCAGAGGTTCTGAGTTCAATTCCCAGCGACCACATGGTGGTTCACAAGCATCTACAGTGAGTGGGATCTAATGCCTCTTCTGGCCTGCAGGTGTGTATGCAGACAGAGCACTTGTATATAAAAAATAATTAAAAAGCTGAAGAAAAATGGAAAAAAGAAAGAAAAGAAATAAACAGAATAGCTGGAAAAAATGAACGAAAGAAGTAGCTGTCCTCTAGCTACACAAGGGCAGACATGCAACAGAGTCCTGTGGTGTCTACAGACCTAGTGTTTCCAAATGAACACTAGCTACAGATGGGAAGGAAGATGACTAAGTCTGGAACTAGCAGGCAAACAAAGGAAATGGGTATCCACAAATCTACCTAACACTTTAAGAGCAATTTCTGGACTCCATTCCAGGATAGGCAGAGGCAAAGAGCACAACCGACCAGTATGGAATAGAGAGGAGACAAGAAACCAGCACTAAGGCTCAATTTCTTCAGCTATCAACTGGGTATTAAGTTTCTGAGCTAAAGACAATGGAGCAGTAAACGCCATCATAACACACTTTGAAACTATAGGGGTTCTCAGAAACAGATAATATAACAAAGGTCACTTCACTCAGTAAGCATAACCACCATGGCAAATTATTTCAGAATCCTCGGTCTTTAAGATTGCTTGTCACTTGGTTTTCCATTGTATATCAGACTGATGTTTCCCATTGCTTCTCCAACACCAATGAATATACAGCAGGCATCTTAACCCAAGCCACCCAGAATGTATCATGACTCCTGCCCACACATACATACACCTCCAAATTCCTAGACTGTCAGACCACACAATCAATGAGATGACAGCCTCCAATCCACCCAAGATGCCTTTTCACCTACATCCTGAGCATGAACGCTATCTCATCTGCCAGGCTACATCCCCTGTCCCAGGCCACACGCTCTCTAAAACAGGAAAGGGCCCTCCTTAAGTAGCCATGGCTCACAATGGCAATGGCTACCCTATTGTGTTCTACACCACCAAACCAAAAGATTCTTTGCATCACACATTCCCATCATGCCACAGTAGTAGGGCTAGAAAGTCACAGAAGGAGTGATTCTCAAAGCACAGTGATGCAGAGTCAGTTCTGAGTTGGAGGACAAGTGAGAGACCTAACTCAGAATGAGCCAAGGAGGAGAACGTGTGGCTTGGGCGTCCCACAGGGTGCTGCCTACTTGTCAACCACAGGTGCCTACTGTAGGCACCTGGACCAACTCTGGAAATTCTAGTCCAGCAAGTGTGGCTAGAGCTTTAATATGGGAATTTTTAGTAATAGCACAAGAAGACAAAGGGTGTTACCATGTTTAACCAGTTCAGTTCTAAGGAAGGCCTAGCAATACTGCAGGTCTTTGATCTTCAGAAACGGACAATACAATGAGATAACCTGATTGCTCTACAAAGAGAGCATCATGGAACCTGAGAGAATACTCTAATGTGCCAACTACCATCTTGGTCTTCCAGCTGATACTCAGAACTCATTAGAAATATGTCTGGGGACTATGACATATGGACACACTCAAGAAAGGGAAGGTTTCACACTTCACTAACCACCACTCTTCAAAGGACTTCAGTTTCTTCATGAGGGCAGGGCAGACACATAAGGTAAAATATTCCAAACAGAACTATGAAATCCGCCGGGCGTTGGTGGCACACGGCTTTAATCCCAGCACTCGGGAGGCAGAGGCAGGCGGATCTCTGTGAGTTCGAGGCCAGCCTGGTCTACAGAGTGAGTTCCAGGACAGCCTCCAAAGCCACAGAGAAACCCTGTCTCGAAAAACCAAAAAAAAAAAAAACAAAAACAAAAAACAAAACAAAACAAAAAACAGAACTATGAAATCAAGACAATCAAAAATACTCAGGAGGCAGCCAGGCGTTGGTGGCGCACACCTTTAATCCCAGCACTCGGGAGGCAGAGGCAGGTGGATCTCTGTGAGTTCGATGCCAGCCTGGTCTACAAAGCGAGTTCCAGGACACCCTCCAAGACAATACAGAGAAACCCTGTCTCGAAAAACAAAAAAAAACAAAAAAACAAAAAAAAAAATACTCAGGAGGCAAAGGCAGGCAGATCTCCGAGTTCAAGGCAAGCCTGGTCTACAGAGTGAGTTCCAGGACAGTCAGGGCTATACAGAGAAACCCTGTATTGGAAAAAAAAAATCAAACAACAAAAGAAAAAAACAAAGAAAATACTGAATGTTCATATAAGAAAAAGAATTTTAAAATGGCCTGTGTACAAACATACTTTATAGCTTTGGAGTTCTGCTAACAATATAAAGTATGGCTAATAGACACAAGGCAAATTTCATGAGAATTACAAAGACGGGGCAAGCTGGACTTAGTTTTAATGGGGCAGAAAAATCTAGCCTTGTTTAAGGACTGCAGGCTACATTGTAGAAGCTTAGCAATAGGTCAGTGGTCGACTGGCAGCACAGGATCATGCAGTACTCAATCCCAGTAGTATAAAACTACCAAGAAAATAAAAGGCACACAGTTTTCTGGGGACATAGCTCAGGTCACAGAATGCTTACCTAGCATCTACAAAACCCTGAGTTCAAGTCTTACACCCAAGGTAGATCACAACCACCTCTAACTGCATCCCAGGCCATCCAACACCCTCTTCCTGGCTGAAAGGGTGCACACACACACACACAGATCAACATCCACACACACATGGAATTAATCAATTATTTTTTAAAGTAAAGTCAAGGCCACCCTGAGGTATGTAGGGAGTTTTAGGGCTAGCCTGGGGTACATGATACTAAGACAAAACCTATGAACTATGTGCCTAGGTGCTGGGATATCAGCTACCTCAGTGCCGACATATCAAGCAGACACCTGAGTAAAGATTAAAGCCCCAAGCCGTCTGGCCACAGAAGGAAGGGCGCCACTAACAAGGACTGAGTTGGAGGCTCAGCAAGGCCAAAGCAGAGTGATCAGATAAACTCACTTTGCTGTCAGGTTAAGGTACCCAAGAAGGAAAGGCAACTGCTCTTTGCACAGTTCTAACCAACCAAGAACTGATTATAAAACAGAAAGAATTGAGACTGGGCATTGGTGGCCCATGCCTTTAATCCCAGCACTTGGGAGGCAGAGGCAAGCGGATCTCTGTGAGTTCGAGGACAGCCTGGTCTACAGAGCTAGTTCCAGGACAACCTCCAAAACAATACAGAGAAACCCTGTCTCCAAAAACCAAAATAAATAAATAAATAAATAAAAAATAAATAAATAAATAAATAAATAAATAAAAAAGAAGTGAGAGCCGAGACAAGCCCTGACATCTTCTGAGAAGGCTGAAGGCTGGGTACCCTAAAGAACAGCATTTCTCAATGGGATCAGGAACAGAATCACGCTCGAGTCCTGCCCATAAGACAGATGTAAGTTCAAGGCCAGCCTGGTCTACAGACAGGACAGGCTCCATAGCCACTGATCTTGGAAAATGAAACAAAGAAAAAAGGAAGGGAGAGAGAGAGGGAAGGAGAGAGAGGAGGAGGGGAGAAAAAAGTAAAGAAAGAAAGCAATAAAGAAAGAACACACTTCCCCAAAAGGTTTTTTTCACTTCTGCTCAATGTCAAAAGCAGCCTGAGGTCAGCTGCTCAGGGCTGATGGTGCAATGCTGACAACCAAGAGATGAGCAGGGAGAAAGCAGAACCAGCCAGCGCCTTAGTCCCTTCTGCTTGTCGGTAAGCAGCACACAGGGAAAAGCCCAAATGAGGTTCCCCCCCCTTTGAATTCAGCTGCTCACAGCTTTGGAAGGAACCTGAAAAAGTACAGGGTACTGCTCAGTTTCTGTGGGGGCTTTGTTTTATTTTGTTTTGGGTGGTGCTAGAGATCAAACCCAGGGCCTCAACAAGTGTACTGGTGCATACTACATTCCTAATACACACACACACACACACACACACACACACACACACACACACACACACACACACACACACACACCAGGGTCTCAAATGTGCCAGGCAAGCAAGCACTCAACCACTAACTTATAGCCTGTGGTGCTTGAATGAAAATTATCCCCATAGGCTCGTATGTTTGCATGTTTATCCCAGGTAGTGGTATTATTTGGGAAGGATTACAAAGTGTGGCCTTGTTAGAGGAAGTGTGTCACTGGGGTGGGCTCTGAGGTTTCAAAAGCTCACACCAGGCCCAGTCTCACTCTCTTTTTGCTTGCAGTTATTGATCTGATGTGAGCTCTTACCTACTTCTCCAGCACCAGGCCTGTCTGCCTGCAGCCAGACTCCCCGCCACGATAATAGACTAGTGCTTTGAAACTGTATGAAAATCTCCAATTAAATGCTTCCTTTAGCAGGTACACCTTTAATTCCAGCACTCGGAAGGCAGAGGCAGGCAGATCTATGAGTCTGAGGCCAGCCTGGTCTACAGACTGAGTTCCAGGATAGCCAGGGCTATACAAA